GGAACAGAATAAAAACGTATAAAATGCAAAGGGCTGGAAACATGTTGGCACCACAGAAGCATTACCACATTAAGCAGCATTGAAAGACACTTAAGTCATTTCCTAAGGAACCTGCGTTCGACTCCTTTTCAATTTAAAATGGCAGTTTTATTATCGTGACTGATAGCAGATGTTTGCGGGGAAATCGATTAGTATGCAGAGATGAAAATTACATTGTGGAAATGAATTGCACCCTCTGCCATGTAGGCTGAAGTTTGTGTTAGCAAAAGGCAGGAGACTATAAAACAGCACTATTTAAATAAATTATTTCGACATAAATATAGATAGGGATGAAAAATGTGCTATCTTCCAGCACGGTAGAAACATGGCTATAACTTACAGACAAACTTTCCATTTGCTTCCTCGATCTGGCTACCACAAGGACGGTTTTTAGCTTAGTAAATATTTTGCAAAGTTTAGGACCGTAATAAAATCCCATTCTCTGCCATGGAGCCATAATTGAATGCATAATCTCAACCCATCCTTTGAGCATTTGTAATCAAAGGCACATTATTTAGTCCACTACTCGCGATATAATTGTCGTATGGAATACTACGGAATATTTAAAGGCCTGTCGGAAGGAATCTAAATGATCTGATTTCAAACAGCAGGAACTGTGTTTTGTTTTGTTTTAAAAAAATCTGACTTTCATAAGAGTCCATTTTCCCTTTAGAATCCAGAGATAGAATGTTAGAATATTTGCTTTATACTGGTCTTCCTCCATCTGGTACGTTCTGTTTCTGAGAGGGCTGCAACCTCCATCAAGAAGCAATTTAATCGGGGTCATAGAAATCTGCATTGGATTTAGTAGAGAGTAATAAGTTCTTCCCGATATCCATATCGGTGAAACCAGGCTCAATAGCAGGAACTGGGAGGGGGATCTTGGAGTCTTAGTGGACAACCAGCTGAATAGGAGCCAACTGTGTGCAGCAGCAGCCAAAAAAGCCAATGCAATCCTAAATTGCATTAACAGAGGGATACAATCGAGATCAAGGGAGGTAACTAATACCACTCTGTAAAGCTTTAGTAAGGCCACACCTAGAGTACTGCATCCAGTTTTGGTCACCACACTATGAAAAAGATGTTGAGACTCTAGAAAAAGTGCAGAGAAGAGCAACCAGGATGATGAGGGGACTGGAGGCTAAAACATATGAAGAACGGTTGCAGGAAGTGGGCTTGGCTAGTCCAGGGAAGAGGAGGACCAGGGGAGACAGGAGAGTAGCCTTCCAATATTTGAGGGGCTGCCCCAGAGAGGAGGAGGAGGTCAAGCTATTTTCCAAAGCACCTGAAGGCCAGAGAAGGAATAATGGATGGAAACTGATCAAGGAGTGAGGTTCAACCTGGAAATAAGGAGGAATTTCCTGACAGTGGGAACAATCAACCGATGGAACAGGAGTTGCCTTTGGAAATTGTGGGAGCTTCATCACTGGAGGCTTTCAAGAAGAGACTGGACTGCCATCTGTCAGCAATGGTGTAGGGTTTCCTGCTTGGGTGGCGGGTTGGACTAGATGGCCTAACAAGGTCCCTTCCAACTCTGTTAATCTAATCTAATATACAAGCGAGAGGATACAGGCGGTGCTCAACGTGCGACCACGATTGAGCTAAACATTTCTGTTGCCGAGTGAA